CGCTGGCTTGCACCACGCCTCAAGGTAAAGGTTTTGGTTTCTTTGGGTTGCTTTGGCATTGCCTGGAGTGAAAATGGCAATGTCTGGGGACAGAGCTTGTAGTTTTCCTTGTAAGTTTTGGTAGAAAGCAGGAAAGGCTTGTAAGCTGGGATGTAGGTGTTGCTTTGTCAGGGAAGAAATCAGGAGCATGGCTCTGCTCCAGCGCGTTTCGGGTGCAGGGTGATGTGCAGTGCGGTTAGCGTGCCCCGTGGGGATGTGGTGCTGGGCTGCTTAAAGGACTTGGAAAATGAGAGCAGAGCTGGAGGAAAGCCCCCCGCTGCTTTACCTGCCTGTGCAGGCAGCAGTGCCGCTGGGATGCCAGACGGACCCAGCAGCCACTGGGGATGCAGCTCTCCGGGGAGTTATCTTACCGGGGTGCTCCACTTTGGGGCAGTGGGAGGTTTTATGGGGCTGTGGGGACCACACCGGGTGGGAAGTGCAGCTCTGCAGCCTGGGGTCTCATGGTGCTGCCCATCTGCAGTGCCGGATCCCATCACAGCCACCGAGGTCGGCTGGGTGGTGGGTGATATTACCATGGGAACATGGAACTTGGAGGACCTTTCCCACTCTTTAATGATCTTTAGACAAAAAATCTGCAAGAACATGGCCAAGTATTTCAAATCCCAAACTAAAGAGAAATTCTTGCACAGAAGATGCCAGAAGGTGGGTGACATGAGGACAAATCCCTTGGTTTTGTTTGATGACATGCCAGGCTGGGCACCACATGCCAGGACGGCAAGGCTGTATCAGTTGGAAGGGCTTTGTGGGGCTCAGTTACAGCCAGGGGCATGTGCAAATGCTTTGCTCTAGTGTGCAAATACTTTGCTCCCTGTTGCAGCCGCAGGGACCACAACCGACATGAAGGCTGCCTTCCTGGTGCTGCTCCTCTGGGCCGTAGCCTGCGCTCACCCTGTAAGTACCTACTGGACAGGTACTCAAACCCCAAACCCCGGTGGTTTTGCCCAGCCAAGGTGCACCAATCACTTATCAGACGTCTCCTGGATGTGTTTAGGTGCCCGGCCATGACCCTGCCCGCCCCCGCCGCAGCGTCCAGCAGGAGGTAAGCTGGGGGGTGCCCCCGCCCCACAGGTGGCAGCCGCTCACCGAGCAAGTCTGGGATGGGGAGCCAGCCCCTGGCAGGCATCCTTGGACCAGGCATCTGTGGGAAGAGCTGCCACTTCTGCCGGTCTTTGAGCTTTGCCCGTCTAACTCAGTCTTTTCAAACTGGGTTGGTTTCACCTCATTTTGCCTTTCCTCCCTGTGCGCATTCCCAATTCACCTGATGCGTTCTGCTGTGTTGGTCCTGAAAAAGGAGTTTTTGTGCTCTGAACCATCACGGTTTGGGCCTTTCTGGGTTGCCCTTTTGTTGGTGGCTACTTTTTTTTTTTTTGCATCAGCAGAAACAACTGAAGGGTGAGGTGTGAGCAATGAAAGAGGCTTGAGCACTTGCATGGCTTAGGAGCGATATATCATCCCACAGCAGTAGCAGTAGCAGTAGATGTGCAGTGGTGTTTAATAAACCAAAGCATCATGTCATGTTTTGCCTCCAGGACACAGCAAGTGAAGGTTACAGCAACAAGCTGGGCAACCTCCTGGATGGTAGAGATCGCAGACATCCTTCTGCCAGTGCAGAGAGGGGGGACAATGCCCTTGCCAGGGACCCGGCGGGTGGGAACGCCGTGGGTGAGGACCTGGGCGAGCACCGTGGCCAAGACAAGGGAGGCAGAGCTGGGGAGGCTCAGCACCTGAACCAGGTGGACCACGTGGACGCGAGTGCCCAGGATGGGAACGGCCTCGGTTTCCTGGTGAGTGGGTGGAGAGGGGTGTTTTGCTCTGCCAGAAAAGCGCGCTTAGCCCCAAATCTGGTGTTGGTCAGGGTAGCGCTTGGCCTGCACGGCAAGGAATGCCAATAGTGCCTGTGACCTGCAAGCCTTTGCATTTGTCTCCATTTGTCACCTCCATAGGACGAGGATGCACACGATGCTGATGATGGTGACAACAGAGAGTACCACCGCACTGGAGTCAATGGGCTTCCCTCCCACACCGGTGGGCTCCTGGACGAGGAGGATGATAGTGGGGACGACACCTTCGACGAGAACGGGGAAGAGGAGGGGGGCGAACGTCCTACTTACGTGGCTGGTGCCGACAGGGCAGGTGAACACGGCCATGACAACGGCCGTGGGGACGCCGAGGTTGGCAGAGGGCACGGTGACAGCAGCAGCAGTAGCAGCAGCGAGAGCGCTGGGGCGGACCATCAGCGGTACAGGAACTACCTTGGCAGCCGGTATAAGCAGACCTACAGGCGGAGAGGGGGCAGCAGCAGCAGCCAGGAGGAGGAGAGCTACGACTTTGAGGACGAAGCCATGCAGGGCGATGACCCCTCTGTCTTCGATGGCCCAGGCAGCAGCTACAAGGGGGCAGCAGTAGCAGCAGCGAGAGCGCTGGGGCGGACCATCAGCGGTACAGGAACTACCTTGGCAGCCGGTATAAGCAGACCTACAGGCGGAGAGGGGGCAGCAGCAGCAGCCAGGAGGAGGAGAGCTACGACTTTGAGGACGAAGCCATGCAGGGCGATGACCCCTCTGTCTTCGATGGCCCAGGCAGCAGCTACAAGGGGCGTTGGGCTGGCTCCCGCGCCCTGGGGAGCAGCCGAGAGAGCGGCCGGGGGGCTGGCTCGCACCGCTGGGAGGAGGGCGACAGCAGGTCCCCAGAGGTGGAGGATGCTGACTCAGAAGAAGACAGCCCATCCATGGAGGACAACAGTCAGTCAGAAGAGCCTGTCGACAGCCAGTCAGAGGAAAACAGTGCCAGCCGCTCTGGGGAGGATGGGGATGGGGAGGACAGCCCCTCCAGGCAGGGCGAGGGCAGCGAGTCCAATGAGGGCACCGCCGACCAGTCGGACGAAGAGCCAGGGGAGTCCCCGGAGGAGACCTCCCAGGAGGTGGTGAGTACGTCGAGAGAGCGCAGCGGCAGCTTGTCCCGGGAAGGGCAGGAGGACCGGGAGTCTGCCGAGGACCGGAGTGCGACGTCGGCGCCTGACAGTGAGTCCGGGGAAGACGAGGGTGACCAGAGCAAGTCTGGGGAAGACGAGGGTGAACAGAGCCAGTCCACAGAGGACACTGTGGAGGAGTCAAAGGAGGATGATAATGACTCTGACACTGATGGGGACGTGCCGAGCACATCAGCGGAGAGCCAGAGCGCATCCCCAGAGGATGACGGCAGCCAAGAGGACAATACAGGCGAGGACAGCAGGTCCACAGAGAGCAAGAACAGCGAGTCCCAGGAGGACGATGATGATGACGACGATGAGGAGAGCCACTCCCAGGAGGATGCCACCCACGAGTCCAGCAGCCGCGGGGACAACAGCTCACCACAGAGTCTGGAGAGTGGGAGCCGCACACGGCGGCCGGGGGCAAACGGCGGCCGGGTGCCTACCGCAACAAGCCTGCTACCGACTACGATGACAACGACTGCCAGGACGGGTACTGACATGTGCCCCATAGCCTTGGTGCTGGGGGGTACGGAGGGAGGAGGTGTTTAATTTATTTGCTATATAGCCTGGTTGACTTCTTCCTGAGAAGGTGCTGTGGATAAAAGGGAGGCAGGTTCACCAGGGCTTGACCTGGGCGCACTACACGGGATGTGAAGTGGGAGGTGATGCCAGACACAGGGAAAAATGCCAAACTTGCAGCGAGAAACGCCATTTCCTATACCAAACTGGAGAGCACCCGAGAGCTGTGTGAGTGCCAGCGGGGTGATGCTGCCTGCTTGCCATAAGGGCACCATGGTGGCTCAGCACTCTGGGAGCTGCGCCTGGGTATGCTGGGCAGAAAGAAAGGTCCCTGCGTTCACCCCTTGTATTTACCTACCACTGCCCTAAAAGCATCTGCCCAGACTCCAGCAGGAGCTTTCCGTGAGCTCCACGTCCTGCACATAAGGAGGAAAAGCTACAGCTGGCACGCACACGCGGTGCGTGGGCTCAACGGTGTGTGAAGTACCACTTTGAGACGCGATGTATGTAATATTTTGTAAGAAATGTACAGAAAACATTATATTGTATCCTTTTTACACTTGTATTTCAAAGCTGAAATGTACCCTATTGATTTCTTTAATTACCATTAAAACCATCAAACTCCACAGTGGTGTGGTTTGAGGTGTTGCTCTTTTTCTCTCCCGGGGGAATTGGGTGCTGCAATTTGGGGTCAAACTGGAGCGAGCAGGGAGCAAAGGCCAGGCTGGTTGCATGGAGAGCCACAGCATGCTGGAGTGAGGGGAAAAGCAGAGGCTGAGGGGTGCTCCCACCCTCCTATTTCCAGGCGCCCCAAGGGCCACCCCTGCCCCTAGGTGAGCCAGCAGTGGGGTGGAAAAGCTGGCTAAGGACCCCTGCGAGCTGGGCCTGGGGCTTTGCTGTATTATGGCCATCACCTGCTGTAATACAAGCAAGGGTTGTACAAATACAAGCAGGGCCTCTTCCTGAGGCCCTGGGAAGGAGATGGGGGGGCATGGGGGGAGTCGTTGCTGGGCATTACAATACAGAATTCAAGAATGAGTAAAGAAATATTTTTTTTATTGATTATAGCAAAACTGCACTTAATTTGTAGGCTCTTTCCACCACTACAAAAGCTGTGAGCTGAACAAGTCCTGGTTTTAGCGGAATTTATGTTTTAATTTCCACCCTGTGTAAGCTCTTTCTACTTCTGTATGAGATCAGCTCTGAAATGTGCAGCTTTCCCATGCTGCTGTCCTGGGAATGAGCCTCTTTCCTGACCTTGCCTCCTCCACCCCACCAGTCCCCACTTCACAGGGGATACCGCAGCTGTGACTTGCACTTATTTTTTTGGACCCCTTTGCATTAGCTGTGTGAGAAGTTGGGGATGCTGTGGCGGTGATGATGCCTGTCAGGGTCACGAGTACCGAAATGCTGGTGCACAGCCCTGTCGCTGGGGTGGAAGACAGCAAGCACGGGTTTGGCTGCAGCCCAGAGGTGCAAAAATTGCTGGCTGACAGCTGTCGCTTTGGTTTAAAATTATAGTAATGATGCGTTTGCTGGCTCCCCTGCGTGGTGGCGCGGGGTAGGGCGCTGCTGTGGACTCTCCCGTGTCCAGCAAGCGGAGCCACCGCTCAGGCAGCGGGGACGTTTCGGGTGCCAGCTCTGCCACGGGGCTGGGTCCCATCCCCGGGGCCCTCAGAATCAGAGGTGCCGTTTGCGTGGGGACAGCTGGTGGCTATGGGGGCTGGGAGGTTTTTTTTTTGGGGTCCCTCCAGGATAGCGAGGGGTGCCCTGCAGCTCTGCTGTGAGCCCAGCCCATCAGCAGGATGGCCAAGGTGTGGGATGGGTGCAAGGGTGGGATGAAATGGGCTCCGTGAAACTGCATCTTGCAGTTTGTGCATGACTCTCTGTCCATTCTCATCCTTGGGCGAGCAGCAGCATGGCACAGGCGGGGAGGGGGGCCTCTCGCCTTCACCCCTCCGCAAAGGGGACGGCAAGCACTCGTCCTCCTCGTTTCATGCACAGAGAGGAAAAACTGGGTTGATTTGGCTTTAGTTTGAGCGGGAGAGGTGTGTGCCTCGCAAGCAGGGCACGCAGTAACCCGCTGCACCCTGTGCTGGAGGGGTAGCTGGCTGCGCTCCCCCTGCACGTGGGTCCCCTTCGCGTGCCTTCCCAGCAACATGCAGTGGTTGCACACATGTCCCCGCCAGCAACGCCCAAAATTTGCCTCCCGCTGGCTGGCTGGTGCCCTGTGCCAGAGCTGGCTGCTGCCTGCCGGTCCTGTCAGGATGGCTTCCCACGGGATTGTCCCTCCCAGGCATCACGGTGTGGGGGGAAACTCAGCCCTTTGCTGGGGAAACCTCCTGCCTGGCCACAGGGAGGGAGCTGCTCATTTTGGCCCCATGCAGGGACGTGCCCAGCACCTGGGAGCACGTGTCTGTGAGGACAGGCAGGTTTTGGGGAACACTGGTGGCACTGGGCTGTCCCCATCAAATGCTGTTCACCTGTGTGTGAGCGGGGCCACCCTGCTTGCCATCTGGGGGGACTTGGTGGCAGGCAGCACTTCGTGGGGTGAGGTTTTGTATGGCCAGAGATAGCGTGGCCAAAAGATGCTCACTTTGAGGATTTTAAGGCATTTTTATCAGCAGCCCGTGTGTTTGGTTTTTGCAGCACGTGCCTGTGCACGGTGAGCATCTGAGGGGAGTGCTCCTGCTCTCTGCTGTCGGGCAGGCAGGAAAAGCAGCTGGGAAGGCCACCCGCATGCTCTGCTATCACTGCAGGTGTTCCTGCATCCCGTTTCGGGCTGATTGTGTGATGAAGTTGTAAGGGTCATCTTGCCCAGTGGGTTAGACAAGGATGAAAAATGCCCACATCAATGTATGCATTTTTCTCATCCACCCACATGGCATTTTTTGTGCATTGGGGGTGGCTTCTGGAGCTGAACACAGTGATTTGCCCAGGAATCAGCATTGGGGTTTAAAGCAGGTATTTTTGGTTGCATTTGGGTTTGTGAAAGCATGAGTCTGCCTCATCTTAAAATAAAGGTTTGTTGTTTATTTTTTTTGTCCTTTCCAAGAAGAAAAAAATCTATTTTTAATAAGCAGTCAGTGTGGCCGAAGCAGTGGGAGGCAGCAGCACCGAGCCCGGCTGCAGCAGCTGGACTTGGGGCAGCCACAGCATGCAAGTTGCGTTTATTCAACCCCCTTATTTTCCTGGCTTTGGTGGGAGAAACAGAGCAAGCCTCACGACCTGCAGAGCACCTCTCCATCCAGCAGCAGCTTTTTTGGCAGTGCAGCCAAGCACCCTGGGCTTCCCATGGCGGGCTGAGAGCCACAGCCAGCTGCAGGGCTTCTCCTTGGCCCCTGTTTGTCTTCAGCAAAATGGGAGTATCTGTGGAAGAAACAATCCAATGGGATTGTCTCTTCTGTGCCCCCTGTGATGGATTTCTGTGATGGGAACCGCTCCTTGCCAAGTGCACGGTGAGGCCGGGAGCGTTTCTCTACCCTTTTCAACGGGGAGGAAAAATCCTCTGACGGAATCGCCGCTGCCGTCAATCTGAACAAAAGAAATGTCTCAGCCCCGTGGGAAAACAGCCTCTGACCTCAGTGAAACCCCAAAATATTACAAACCTTTTGAATGCTCTAAGGGAATTCTTGTTCCAGCTCCCTTTACTGCCATGCACTTCAATGGCAAACAACTTTCCTGTGCACCCCTCCCCCGCCCCCCGCCCCTGGCTCAGCTGTGTCCTGAGAGTTTTGTGGTCCCCCCAGCACTGCGCCAAGGAGTTGGGCACTACAGAATGGCACCTAAAGTGCGTTAGCATCCACCTGTACTGCACCCCCTGAACTCGCTACGGAGACCTTAAAGCTGCAGAGTGAGCAAGTGGTTTGCAGTTCAGGTTTTTCTGTTTTCACACCCTGAAATACAAAGCTGCAAAGAGGTGGTGTTTTATTTTAGCAGAAGGCATCAGGTTTCTGAAAACAGGAGCTGAACCTGCAACTGGGGAGCAGAGGCAGGACGCTCTCCTGTCCCAGACCCGATGCTGTTTCAAAGCAGATGCTTTTGCAGAGCAAAAAGTAGGTTCATTACAGCGTGAAAACTTTCAAAGCCTTCTTTTTCGAAAATAAAACGAGTGCCTGAGTGTTAAGGTACTTATTGCAACAGACACACATTTGTCTGTGTATATATGGATACATATACAAGTGTTGTGCAACTGGTGTATGTACACAATGACAAATAACCAGTGCAAGCGCAGCAGTTCCCTGCTGACACACGCAGCGTGCTCTGCCTCTGCTGCAAATGGCAACATTTTAAGCCCAAATGCAGGGTTTTTTTCAGGTTTGAGCAGGGCGTGCAGTGGCAGGGAGGTAGGCAGCCATCGCTAGCACAGCGTGGAGAGCAGCGTGTCTCTGTGCCATCCAGATTTCTGACTGTCCAGGGACACTGATTTGACTTTGGCAGAGAGCTCAATTCCTAAGCTGGGTGTGCAGGTTGTTGATGGGTACCTCTGCAATGAACCTAGGCTCTCTGCCTGCTCTCCTCCTGAAAATGGGGCCTTTTGGGGGGTTTATTTGCTTTTTTCCTCCTGTTTCTGTCGTGTGGCTGTGTTTGAGGGCTCTCACACATGGATGGAGGCAGCAGACTGATGGTGGGACCAGTCCTGGTAACTTATTCTAGCTGAATTCCTCCTGAAAAAAATGAACACAAGCAAAAAAACAGAGGAAAAATGATACACAGGTGTTGCTCAGACACGTGAGGACCTGGGTGGTGGCGAGTGCTGGGATTTGTGATAATGCTGTGACCTTGCCTCAGTGATTTGCTGGGTTTCTATTCCCCAGAGTTCAGGCTGCCTCAAAGTGCTCACGTCACAGAGCTACTTGTGGCCCGCATTTTGCCAGGCATGTAAGTAGAATTAATTTCCTTTATCTGGTTTCCTGCCTCAGAGAAAAAGGAAAATTACATGAAATGTTTAGTTGCAGAGGGCCAATATATAAAGGTT